GGTTTCTCTGTGCAACAGTCCTGGCTGTCCTGGAACTTGCACTGTAGACCAGGTTGGCCTTGAACTCACAGATATCCACCTGCCTCTGCCTCCCAGGTGCTAGGATTAAAGATATGCATCACCACCGCCTGGCTAGGACCAGGAAACTTTCCTGACTTTTCTCCTTCTGCTTTAGGGTTAGGAAGCTTACAACTCCTCTCTGTCTTGAATTGTTTTCTTTGTTTGTTCTATAGACAGGGTGTCATATTCCAGCGCAGGCTGGTTGTGGCAATTCTCCTATGGGGCACTGAGGCAGGAGTGAGCCACTGTATCACTGCTTAGCGAACTTTCAGGAATGGACGAAATAGTGAACAACGTGGGGGCCCACACATGATCTAGAGATTCTGTTTTGTGTTGTTTTGGAGGCTGGAGAGATGGCTCAGCTATTAGGAGCACTAGCTGTTCTTCTGAAGACCCAGGTTCAATTCCCGGTACCGACAGGGCCACTGGCACCTGTAGCTCCAGTTCCAGGGGACTTGATGCCCTCTTCTGGCCTGCACAGGCACCGGACACACCAGTGCTACACAGACATACATGCAGGCACACACCCGTTCTCATAAAAATAAAATAAAGACTTGAAAATTCATTACAAACATAAAACCTGGGGCTGGGGAGATGGCTCAGTAGGTAAAAGTAGGCCCAGTGACAAGGACCTGAGTTCAGAGCCCAGTCTCCCATGCAAACAGCTGGGCATGATAGCACGCATCTGTAAGCCAGCTCTGGGGGAGGCAGGTGGAGGCCGAGACAGGCAGCTCCTGGGAGCTCTCCGGCCAGCCAGTCTAGCTCAAGATTCCACGAGAGACCATCTCAGAAAATAGGGTGGAGAGGGCGACCCTCAATTTTGATCCCTGGCCACTACCTGCACATATACATTCACAGGAGCATTTGTACCTGCACACATGTGAACATGTACACATATACTACACACACACACACACACACACACACACACACACACGCTCGCACATACACGTACACTCACATACACATATACAAACAAACATATACCACATACACACACACATCACACACATACAAATAAATAACAAACATTTTTAAATGCTTTTCAAATATAAGAGCCATTTTTAGCCCAGGAAGCATACAAAAATAGGCCTAAGGTTGGATTTAGCTTTCTGACTATATTGTGCCAGCCCCTGGCGAAGACAATGAAAATATTATATCAGTCTTAAGATTCAGATAGAAATTGTGCATAGCTACAATAAATATGAATATAAAATCCTACTACTAGCAGAAAGCCTCATGGTGACAGTCAAGAGAAAGGACTGTGAGGTCCCCACATACTTGGAAATGTCAGCTCCTTGTCATCTTGGGCCTGAGACAGGTGGACACATTAAAGGCAGAGATGTTTACAGAAGGCCACCCTGCCAAAGGCACAGTGACAGTGTGGGGGTACTGGGGGTAGTGTTGGTATGACTGACTCTCTGCAGCTTCTCCATGCTTACGAGCCCACACAGGGCTGACAGGACTCCATTAACACTGGAGTCAGGGGCTCGTGTGTGGAGGGTGGTGTACTAGGAATCTTAAATGGTACTTATTAATAAAATCAAACCTGAGGCCAGTTATTGGGGTGAACACTGGAAGATCAGAGAGACAGAACAAGCCACAGCTAACCTCACCTGGCCAACTTCTCAGCTGGTCCTGTTTCCTCAGACTGGAAGCTTCTGTGTCCTCATATCCGAATGGCTCTCAGCTGAACTGTGCTGCTCAAGACCTAAAAGCTTAACCAGCCAAATGCTTCTAGTTTCTGGTCCTCACGCCTTATATACCTTTCTGCTTTCTACCACCACTCCCTGGGATTAAAGGCGTGAGTCACCATGCTTGGCTGTATCCTTGAACAGATGGATATCTGCCTCTGGAATGCTAGGATTAAAGGCGTGTGTTACCACTGCCTATCCTAAGTATCTAGTGGCTCTTCTGTTCTCTGACCCCAGATAAGTTTATTAGGGTACACAATATTTTGGGGAACACAATACCACCACAGGGTAGTCTATGTGGGCACGCACCATGGGTGTATAGGTGGAGGCCAGAGGTTGACATGAAGTGTCTTCCTCTATTGCTCCACCTTATTTTGAGACAGAATCTCTAACTGACGGAGCTCGCTGATTGGCCAGAATGACTGGCAGTGAGCCCCTGGGGGCCTCCAGTCTGCTCCCCGTGCTGAGGTGACAGCATGCCTGCCTTTTTACGCGGCTGCTGCTCATACATTGCGTCAAGCACCTCACCCAATAAGCCACCTCCTCAGCCCCAGACACTGTTTTTAGCCAGGAAAGTTCAAGTTACAAGTGCCCGGCAGCAGATTTTCTCCATATTTTCAGAACAAGTCCATCCTGACGTAAAACAAGCAAGAGGGCAAGAAGACAGGTGAGTAAAGAGAAGGGGGCTAGAGGGGACCACAGAGAAACACTAAACACAGACCAGACTTTCCAAAGCTGACTATCTCACCGATGATCAAACCCTCTGGGCTCAGTAACTGCATTTCCATGAACTGAAATGGATGCACTCAGTTAGTACTTACAACAAAGCTGGGTTATCTGCTGAAGCGCTGTCTGTAAAAAGATCAAATAAATACTGGCACACCTGTGCAAAGGAACACGCACGCAGGTGTTTACAAAATAAGGAGTGAAGACGTTTTCATAGCCTAATATGAAATATGTTTAAAAACAAAAGGGAAGGTGAGAAATGGTTCATTACTCATTGTCCTTTCCTGTTTGAATAGAATGCCTTTGTAATTTTCAAAAAACTGGTAATACTGGTTTTGTCTAGCAAGCAGAACCTCAGTGACTGAGGGACGGAGTCAAAAGTGGTTATCTGAAATGACCTCAACTTTCAGATTCTGAATCTTATGAATATATTCATCTAACTTAGAGCAGTTGGCTTAGATGTTTTGTGCCTTTACATCACCAAACAGCAACCACAGCTCCTCTCTCAGGCTCCTGCTGACCAGATCCATTCAGCGCTCATCAGAGCTTCGAAGAACTGAAAGGTCCTTGTCCAGCTGAACAAGTCTCTTCAAAAGGGCAGTTTGCAATGTCTGTTGTTATTCCTCAGTTTCCCAGTGTAAAGAGACAGCGACCTCTCACATTCAGATGACAGCAGGGACCTGACAGGACACCTGACCTCACTGTACCCAGAGTCACCTATCAGCTTACGCAGGCCCAGAGCTCCTCCCCGTCAAAAACAACCCCCAAGCCCAACAGCCTGAGCAGCAAGAGTCTTCACCGGTCCTCCCTCAGGCTCACTTCAAAGGCCTCTTCTCTCTCCTGTGTCCCTTCCGAGCTGTTCTACTGGCTATTTGCCCAATGTAATTGCTGCATAGATACACATCACCTCTCATCTCTGCTGGGTAAACAGCAATTTCCAAGTAGAGACAAAGTCATAATATTTTGAACACAAGAGAGTGTGACAAGCATTTGGCAGTGTGAGCAGACATCAGGACCAACAGCATCATGTGTGTGTGCACTCCTGGAGGACAGACACTGATCATGGGACTCCAGCCTCATGAGACACTCACTTATTTAGAGATGCTTCCATTGTTTATGACAATAAAGGAAACATACCTGTGGGATATGAAAGAATCCTACAAATATACAATGTGAGTCTGTTTCTACTCAGGATACACCAAGACTGAGAAACCCATGAATAGGTTCACAGACTTAAAACAGAAAACAGTTCCTACTAGTCCAGGCTATCACAGACCATAGAGTTCCTTGGCTATAACAGAATTGGACAAACAAACCTTAAATGTTTAAAAAACAGCCACTGAGGATCTGGGGTTGAGGGGAGGTAATGGGGGGCGGGTGGAAGGCGGACAGGATGTATTATTGAAGAGAATTAAAAAAAATAACAAACCAGTCACTAAAGGTCATCTGGGGAGCCTTTCACCCACTAGGAGCCCTGAAAAGCCGTTTAGTACCCCAAAAGGGAGACCCAAAACTCTCAGCAACATTGATTTTCTATGAAGTACCTACGGGCCAGGCACCAGCAGTCGGAGAACAGCAACCGGTTGTCTCTGCTCAAGCCCCTGTCAATTCTCACCCGTACCTGCACCTTCTGAGATACACCTGTTTGGGTACACACTACCCTTGGACTAACCCTGAGGAACCACTTCTCACACAGGCATTAGGGGACTGAGATCCAGTACTGTTCTCCCTGTTACCTGGAACGGGCTCACCTCCTGGCAACCTCACCATCAGACAGAGGAAGTGCCAAGAGTTTTAGTGAGAAATTGCAAGCACCTTCTCCCCCTTGGGCAGAGTTCCATCTCTCAAGCTCAGCTCCCAGTTCTGCTACTCGCCAACCACGTGCCTTTAGAAATATCATACAATGTCCTTCCCCGGCTTGTCCCTTGATCTATAAACCAAGAGGGTAGTGTGTTACAGCTCTGAAGGGAAAGGTATCCTGGCAGTCAGGAGCCAAGGAGTACCACAAAGTCACACTGCACAACAAATCTCACACAGGAGATTTATTAGGAAAGACACAAGAGCGTGGCTGCCTCTGCTCGGGAGAAGCCGCGGAGAACTGGACGGGAGGCAGGCTTTCTATAGGGTTTCTCGTGTGTAGGCTTTCTAGGGTGGCCTGGTCTTGGGGCAAGCTCAGGGGCTAGTGGGATTCCGTAGCCTGATCTTGGGCTTTTTTTCTGTAGGGCAGAGCTTGGCCACCTGCATCTCCAGAGGCTGGAAATGCTAGACTAGTCTGGCGGGGGAGAGTGAGCCTGACCAATCACCTCGAGGAGCTTACAGGTAGACTAAACAGAGTGAGATATTGTGTAGCCTGAGCAGCCTCTCCATGAACGGAATGGCGGCAAAAAGAAAAACCACAGCACCCTCCTCTCACCCCACCCCTCCTCCTGGAGTGTTCCCAGGGATGAGGACTGCTGGACAGTCTATAAGAAGAATGTCAACACCACAGTTACCAGGAAAAGGGATTCTGGGTGGACCTACCTTTCCCGCATCCACCAGTTCTGCAATTTCATCTAGATATGGACCATTGGCCATGAAGAAGGCCCAGCGGTAATGGACTCCTTGCCAGAAATGCTAAAAGGAAGAAAACAGTCATAGTAAGTATATAGAAAGGAAGATCTGACTAACTGCAGCTAACTAAAGGCATTTTCTGCATGACCAAGACAATGAACCCGTTTCCCATATCATGTTGACACATGGTGTGTGCTCAGGACCTCAGCATGGTAACTGATGGAGGGCAGATACCCCATAGAGCTTAAGGAATAAGCAAAGGAACTAGGCCTGTCCACGTCAACTCAGGCGTCTCCATGCATGACTGACACAGGAAAGCGTTCCTTAAACAACAGTCTGAATGAATGTCTCGTGTGCTTACCTACGAAGAGTTAGGGCTAGACCTCCAGGCATTCCCCACTGAAGTTTGCAGGAGCCCAGAGGCACCAAAACTACATTTAAAAGTGTTTTAGGAGCAAGAGTCACTAAAGCATGCTTAGACAAGACTCAATCCTAGTTTTTTGTTTCTGACTCTGACAGGAATAAAGAAGCTTCAAAGAAAGGACATAAAGTTGCTTTTATGTCGTGGCTGGGTCTAATCAGACGGCCTGACTACCTCTGTAGTTACTGTGAATGTCAGGCCATCTGATCTTTGTAGAACAAAACCTCAACTCCAGGATGAGGAAAAAGCTTACACCGAAAGGGCTCCACTCCACTTCTGCACCCACGTACAACTGTTGTTCTCTTTCGCTTCTGAGCAGGTCCTCATCATGCAGCCCAGGCTGCGCTCAACAGTCGTGTCTTTATGAGAGGTGAGTAGGACATTATCAAAACAGCAGTAAGCCAAGCTCCAAGACATCTTAAGCTGGCCCGAGTCCTCAGAGATGGCTAAGGACACTAAGACCATGCTGCTGTCCTGCCCTCTCCTACACACAACTGCAAAGTGAGGGCAGAATGTTCACTGAGGCCAGTCTTGGCTTGACAATCCCTGATTGTCATGGACCTGCAGGGCTGGGAGTCTGATCACAGTGATCTAGAGCAAAGCTTCTTAAACTGTGGGTCATGACCACATATGGAGTCATACAACTGAATAAAAAAATCTAACAGTAAAATGCTCTGTACACCTTATGTGGCTAGACACTGATGCACTGAGATGTCCCCAGCACAGGGCCCACCTAGTAAGTGACAAGCACAGAAGACCGGTTCAACTGATTCTCCTACGGTCTGCTGTCACTTCCGGGACCACAGTGAAAGCATTCTGGTAACTGTTTGGGGTATTAAAGGGGAACTAAAATGGTCACAACTGCCACATCTAAAGTCCCTCACAACACATTTCTCTGGGAAGCGAACCGCTTGGTCCCTAACAGCAGACAAAGACCAGTCCTGATTCCTTCCTCTGCAGACAACTACCCTGTGGTTTTCCTTAAGCTGCTTCTGGACACTGTCTGAGTGAAATAAAGACAGGCAGAAGCATGACGCACTTGGCTCCCCTCTACACCACACACCTGTCACGTTGACTGTGCTGTGCTTCCTCGTAGCTCTTCACCTTTAGCAAGGTGAGTCCTTGCTTTTAGGAAACCAAGTCTTACCATCCTAATGGTGCCCAAGTTCATTTCCAGCAGAAAGAAGCACTTAAGGGGGCTGGCGATGGTTCAGCAGTTAAGAGCACGTGCTGTTCTTGCAGAGGACCTGGGTTTGAGTCCCAGCACCTACATGGCAGCTTACTACTGTCCTCAACTCCAGTTCCAAGGGATCCAACCCTCTCTTCTGGCCTCTGATGGCACTAGGCACACACACAGTACACATCCACACATGCACGTAATACATACATACACATAAGGTAAAAATCATGGATTTCTTTAAAAAGCAGCAGCTAAAGACTGAACACAGCGGCACACACCTGTAATCCAAGCTCTCAGGAGGTAGAGGCAGGAGGAACACACGTTTCAGGTAAGCCTGGTCTACATATTGAAGCCCCATCTCAAAACAAAACAAAACAAAAGAGAAAACATCTCAAGGGCCAGAGTGTGACTCAGTGGCACTTCTTGCTCAACATGCCTGAGGCCAAGTTCAATCCCTAGCTCCTCATTCAAAACCTTGCATAAAAAGGAAAAGAAACAAAGTGACTGAGGAAGGGGAGGGAGGGGAAGAAAGCTAAGGACAGTCAGCACACCGAGGGTGGCCAGAGCTGGTAGGTTCACCCAGGGAGCGAGCTGTTACCTTGAGGGCCTTTCTACTGCCTTCTCCTTGAATCTCAAGTATTTAGTCTAGTTAAGAAAACAACATTTATCTTTATTGTCTTCTATCTCGTATACCATTTCACCTCCAATTCAATACCCTAGGATTCCCCTAATTTATAACCTGAAATTTTATCAGCCTCTGTCCCCACTGTGGTGACAAGAAGTGATGACATTAAGCAGAGGGCAGACAGGTAAGCTCCACCTCAGTCCTGTAACTGAGGCAATAAGCACTAATTCCCAAGGCCCACCACTCCCTGGGGACATTCAGCTTGGGCACCAGAGCACTGCACAGATCCAGAAGCAGTGGCCTATCAGTACAGTCAACCTGACTAATCATGTCACAGTAGCTGGTCTTTACAGTTCACTGGGGATAGGAAATGTTGGCACAGTGTGATATAATCCCAGCAAAGGCATAATGGCTCCATTAGTATTCATAGTCTCTCAGTAAAAGTACAATTTCCTTAAGGTTTCTGAACCCCATAGACCTCTAAGGGTGAGAGAGCCTCAGCCTGGGAACCATGGAATATCTACTGTTACATGAGCAGAGCAGCAGAAAACTGCCTTAATAATGTCTCTACCTTACCTACAAGAGACTGTTTTAGGACTGGTGAGAAAGAAGCCATCAGGTAGAGGCAGGAAGGAGAGAGAAGGCATATCAGATGAATCAAGAGAAGCAGTAACAGCTAGTCCCAAGGCTGGCGTTAATGAGAGTCTTGATGGCCTAGGCCTAGTGCCACACTCTCCGTGTGGATTAGCGTATTTACAGCAATGCGGTAAGTTACCGATTCGCAACCTTACCTCATGGGCGAAGACACTGGGCTTGGAAACAGTAAGTAACATGCACAGGGTCACACGGCTACTACACTGAGGTCAGAATTGAAACCCTGCTGTGTGAGGCTAGAGACCACACTGGCAGCCACTGTGGGAAGCTGGCTCCAAGGGAAGAGGAAGTGGCCAAGGGGCAAACTCACTCCCACCAATCACGATTTGCCTCCCTACCTTCAATGTCTTGGTCCCCATGGTGACGCCTGTCTGCAACATGCCATCAGCAATGCCCAGCTGGTCCATATTCAGGAGGAAAGGAGTCACCAGCGTCACATAGGTGGCTCCTGACCACTTCTTGAGAAAGTTTAGAGCCCATGTTTCAGTAGATCCACCCACATTATCAAGGATGAAGTCAAACCTGGAGGGAAAGAATCAAGTGAAAACATCCGGCCAGTCTCTACACTGGTGCAGATCCCCCTTCACTGTGTTGCCAGCTGGCTCCAAGGTGTATTCAGTACCAGCTCACACACCCTGCACCACTGCATCATCCCACAGACAGGTAGAGACAGGTTGAGACGGGAGAAGGCACATCACTCACATTTCTACCTTTCCCCCAATGTTAAAATTTCTTGTTATAAGTTTTTATATACCTTAAGAAAGACTTAAGCAAGTGGTTCTGAATCAGGGGTGATCTGGGTTAATATGAAGAGAACAGATTCTCACACCAAAAAGTATCCAGCTTAAAACATAAGTCACTGAAGAACTGAAGGCTGTCTAGGTTGAGGAACCCTGACATCAGCTTTGAAGGCTACAAAACTGTCCTTTCAATATCATCAATGTATTTTTCAGTATATATGACTACTTGAAAGAAAAGTATACAAAGTGTTTGCCTGTAAAATGACTTGCTTTCATCCCCTCTACAGTCAAAAACGCATCCTCTTCCGATTCCAGAATGTTCTTTTTGTGTGTTTTATTTATGGTATCAGGATAATGCATGAAAAAAAAAATCAACACCCTCCCCTTAGCCTTCAGTGGCACTCTGGCATGCCCTGCCCCCAAACTGTCTAATAGAATCCACAGAACTGACAGATATTCAACTCTCTAAACTAACCTAATACTGCTATAATCACTATACTGCACTCAAAGGGGATAGAAACCCATGAAAACTTTTCATTACTTTCAAAAACAAAGTTCTATTAGAAAATGCATGTTTATAAATTAAGTAAATCAATTGGTGAATTCCTCTTGGGTTAAGTTTCCCCCTTCCAAATTCATCTGGAGGGAGTCAAAACATCAAAGTCTCTAAGATAGCTTTGGCCAGCTTCAAGGATACTGAGTCTTTCATGGGATTAAACTAAAGAAAGACAAAAATTAAAGGCTACGAAAGGCAGGAGAGTGAACTTCCTAGGGGATCATGCTTCTCATTAGTCAAGTTTCTACTGTATTCCTAATGCATCAGTAACAAATATGAGGCCATTTAATTTGTGGAAAACTTAAAACTGCTATTATAGACTGGGCACCATGTGAGAAGAAGTCTGGAGACAAGCTGTAGGCTAAATTATCCCAGGAATGATTAATGACCTTGAGCTAACAAAATATCCCAAAGCCCCTGCCTCTGCTTTCTCAACCATGATATGATTGGATTGGAAAGAGATTTAACTCTTTCCTGCTGTAAAATTTCTAAGATTCAAACACCAAGAAAGTTGCTATTTGGAAGAAGTCACAAATTTATAGGCAGATTCTGAGTTCACCCTCTGGGCAAAGGTTATAATTATAATGACCAACTTCAGTTAAACTGTTTGAGGTGGTGTGAATAAGAATGGCCCCCAGAGTCGCCGGGCGGTGGTGGCGCACGCCTTTAATCCCAGCACTCGGGAGGCAGAGCCAGGCGGATCTCTGTGAGTTCGAGGCCAGCCTGGACTACCAAGTGAGTTCCAGGAAAGGCGCAAAGCTACACAGAGAAACCCTGTCTCGAAAAACCAAAAAAAAAAAAAAAAAAAAAAAAAAGAATGGCCCCCAGAGACTCACATATTTGAATGTTTGGTTCCTAGTTGGTGGAACAGTTTGGGAACGATTAGGAGATGTGGCTTTGTTAGAGGACATGTGTCACTGGGATAGGCTTTAAGGTTCCAAAAGCCCATGCCATTCCCAGTCAATAGATACACTCTCTCTCCTTTCTCTCTCTCTCAACATGTTAGCTCTCAGCTACTGCCCCAGTGCCACACCTACCTGCCTGCTGCCACGTTTCCCACCAGGATGGTTATGAACTCACCCTCTGAAACTGTAAGCAAGCCCTCAATTAAATGCTTTCTTTTTTTTATAAGTTGCCTTGCTCATGGTGTCTCTTCAGAGCAATAGAAAAGCAAAACACTGTTGAAGGAAGAGGAAGAGAGTGGAAGGAGAGAAGGACAGAGGGAGAGAGGGAGGAAAGGAAAGCCCCCTACTGGAAGAGTACAAGTCAAGAAGGCAAGAGCATTTATTTGCCAGAGAAGCTGAGGGAATGGTCACACTGACATGAGGAGACAGACTGAGTGTCCTTCAGCCTTTCAGCTGTCAGGTTCTCCTCTGTAAACAAATGACAAACACGTATGCTACTGAAGGTCAATAGAGGAGAAGGGGTTGGTGTTGGCCTTTCTGTAAGTCCAGCAAGTGGCCAGGCCCCGCCCCTGAGGACCTCCAACCACCAGGCCTTGCCTACAGGACACTCTAACAGACACAATGGCTGGACCCAGCCCTTCCAGATGCAGGTGGCCAAGCTCCGCTGTACAAAGTAAAAAAGCTCAGGACTTGAAATCCCACCAATCCCCATTCTGGAAAGCTCCACCACTATCTCCAAGAAACCCTATATAAACCTGTCTTCTGTTCCGTTCTCTGCTGCTTCTTGCCTCAGCAGAAGCAGCCACCTTCCTGGGTTTTCCCTCCCAATAAATCTCTTATGTGAGGTTTGTTGTGTGCTGTATTTGTGGTACTCCTTGGCTCCCGACTGCCAGGATAACTTTCCCCTAAGAGATGTAACACCTCCATTGGGGAAGCCTTTCCCCTCAGAGTGTAACACCTCCACTGGGGAAGCCTTTCCCCTCAGAGTGTAACACCTCCTGGGGGAAGCCTTCCCCTCAGAGTGTAACACTTTGTGTCATGCTGCTCTTCCCAACAGCAGAAAATGTGAGATCAATTCAAACTACCACTATCCAGAAGGCAGATCTTGGAGACCTGTCATGTCTTCACCTTCCAGCACCCTACAGAAGCACAGACCTTGACACTCAGATACTTAGCCCCGAATTCTCAATCACATCAAATATGTTCTTGACACAGGAAATTTGCATGTGTTTTTACATCAAATGAGAACAATTGTTCTTCTGGATTCCCCCAATAATTAAACCAGGAGCTTGAGAGATGGTCTGGCAGTTAAGAGTGCTTGCTAGCTTACAGCTAGATAAGAAAACATGAATCCCAGATTCAGGGAGAGATCCTGCCTCAAAGGAACAGATAGAGAGTGACAGAGGGAACTATATGATACCCTCCTTTGGCCTCCACTTACGTAGGCACATGAACCCATGAGTGTCTGTGCATGTGCACGAACACACACACACACACACACACACACACATCAAATACTATTGCATTGGGTGGAGACATACAGCTAGGAACAAGACCAGCTGAAGCCTCTGACTTTTAATATCTCATCCTCGACCACCCCCTCCCAGTCAACTGTTCTCCTTTCCCTGCTCCAGTGTTCCATAGAGCACTGTGCTGGATAGACACAGGCTAGAGTCATCAGAGAGGAGGGAGCCTCAGTTGAGAAAATGCCTCCGTAAGATCCAGCTGTAGTGTGGTGATATTTTAATTGTGCTGAAATGTGATTTTATTTGTATGTTAATAAACAAAGTTTGCCTGGAGATCAGAGGTCACTAGTGGAGAGCCAGGAATAGAAGTCAGGTGTTGGTAGCCCACGCCCTTAATCTGATCATATGGCACGCAGAGTCTCTGTGTGGTCAAGGATACAGCCAAGCGTGGTGACCCTTGAGTCTTTAATCCCAGTCCCAACCATAGAGACCAGGAGGTCTGTATAGACAGGCAGTGATGTGGAAGTCATGTGGCTGGGCTTAGAGTCAATGAGAAGGCAGAACAGGAAAACAATAAAACACAAGGCACAGGAAGAAGGTCTCTCTCTCAGGGGAAGGACGACAGTAAGTGGTGAGCTGAAGGGAGGGAGTCATGGCTCTTGCTCTGATCTCTTAGGCTGTACCTCTGTATTTGGCTCCGTGTTTCTTATTTAATAAGACCGTTTAGAAATGTGTCTACACTGTAGGGCATCTTCTTAATTAGTGACTGATGTGGAAGGAACTAGCCCACTGCTGGCTGGGGCCACCCCTGGTCTGGTGGTCCTGGGTTCTGTAAAAAAGGAGGCCGAGCAAGCCACGAAGACAAGCCAGTAAGCTGTAGTAGAATATTTGAAGGTGTGTTACTTTTGTTTATGTTGCATTTGTTTAACTCTGTGGAGCTGTGTTACTGTGCCTGTCTAAAACACCTGATGGTCTGATAAAGAAGGCCAGTAGCAAAAAAAAGAAAAAAAAAAAAAGGCTAGCAGCCAGAGGAGGAGGACTCCAGGGCCAGCCACTCGGCTACACAGCAAGCCACGGAGTAAGAGTAAGATGTACAGAAGTAAGAGAACCGGAAAAGTCCAGGGGCAAAAGGTAGACGGGATAAGTTAAGGAAAGCTGGTCAGAAACTAAGCCAAGCTAAGGCTGGGCATTCATATGTAAGAATAAACCTCTGTGTGGGATTTATTTGGGAGCTGGGTGGTGGGTCCCCCAAAAGAGCTAAAAAAACAAACAGCAACAGTAAGCAGCACCCTCCATGACCTCTGCCTCAGCTCCTGCCCTGTTTGAGTTCTTGTCCTGACTTAATTTCATGATGAACAGTGATGTGGAAGTACAAGCCAAATATACCCTTCTCTCCCCAAGTTGCTTTTGATCATGGTGTTTCATTACAATAATAGTATTCCCAACTAAGGCAGAAATTAGTACCAGGAGAGTGGGGTGTTGCTGTGACAGACCTGACCATGTTGTTTTTGGGAGGATTGTAGAAGAACTTTGGAAATTTGAGTGAGAAAAGCCATTGAGAGCCTGGTGAGCTGTTACATGGGATCTTACAAGCAAAGAATTTTGAGAGCAATGAAGACCATGGGGCCCTGGCTTGTGAAGTTCTAGAGGGAAGTTTGAGAGTCCCTTAAAAACTATCAAGGCCAGTCACCAGTTTGAATTGAGAACCCGTGGTTCTGGTTAGCTGAAGCTGAAGAATCAGCTGTGACTAACAAGAGACCAGAACCATTGAAGTAAAACCTTTTTGTTGGTAGGACAATTGATGCTGGTCAGCTGGAGCTAAGAAATTAGTGGTGATTAAGAAGAGACCAGAATCATTGGGGTGAATGCTTCTGGGAAGTGCTCCCTGAGAGTCAGTACACAGAAGCTGTGTTCCAGAGGTGGCCAAGCTTGTATCTCACACTGGCAGCCAAACTTGGTAATGTGTAGGAGTCACCCAAGTGGCACTGGTTTTGAAAGCAGGAAGGGGTCATGGAGAGCAGCTGATGCTTAACATGTTCAGAGGCCATTGGTGAAGATGCAGCCTCAATGGCAGCTGAAGGCCCAGGATTGAAGAAGTCTTGGCACCAGGAAGAGAGCCTGTGAGAGGCTACTGGTGAAAGTGCAGCCCAGTTGCAGCAGAAGACCCCAGCATTTTGGAGATGCCAGTACATGGGATGACCACCAAGAAGAGCAGCAGTGGTGGAGTGGAGCCTGCTCCAGCTTAGAAGACAAGTGTGTGCGCTGCAGAGGGTGGAGCCAGGGAAGTGACCCAAGCCCCTTGAAGGAGCCCAGAAGGTCGTGGGTGAATCCAGATATTGGACAATGAGTTATTTACACTGCTGGAGTTTGGTTGTGCTTTGTTCAGACTGTGACTATGCTCTGTCTGGTTCTCCCCTCTTGAAGTAAGAAAATATATTTCATTTATTTTTTATTTTATAGGAGCCCACAGTAGAGAGACTTTAAACTTGAGAGAGGTTTTGAACTTTGACAGACTTTAGATTTAAAAAAGACTAGATTATTTTTAAAGAGACAACTTCTGAAATGCTTGAATTTGTAAGGCCATGGGACTTTTTAATGAAGTTTGTGAAGTGTTTTATATTGTGATATCTTTATTAACGTGTGATCTTGGGTGTTGGAATTCCTGGCCACTCCCCCAGCTACATGACCACACATGCGCTGTCCAGTAGCCAAGCAAGAGGCTTAGTTATCCCAGGAACTTATGTATTATGTAATCCGTGTGCTGCATGGTCACGTAATTTGCATGCAGCGTCATCATGAAATCTATGCGCATGCATGGCGTAGCTATGTAAGCCCGTATGTGCATGTGTGGGGGAATCCATAAAAAAACAGGTCACAGACTCCTCCCCCTCTTCTTCTTCCCCTCTCTCCCTGCACCATTTCTCAGAGGCCCAAGCACTCCCCCGTTCTCTTTCCTTTAGTAAACTCTTATAGTGGGTTTTGTTGTGCCTTGTGGCTTTTCTCAAAAGGTAAACAGCGCCGAATAATAATGACTAACATTGGGGCAAACAAGAAAGGAAAGGTTATGTCTTAACAGTGATGTGTTTGTGTGTCAAGCTGACAAGGGGTCAGTTGTGCTGGCTAGTTTTATGTTAACTTGACACAAGCTAGAGTAATCAGAGAGGAGAGAGGCTTAACAGAGGAAACGCCTAGAAGATCTGGCTGTAGGCATTTTCTTAATTACTGACTGATGGGGAGGGCCCAGTCCATTGTGAGTGGTGCCATCCCTGGACTGGTGGTTCTGGGTTCTGTGAGAAAGCAGGCTGAGCAAGCCATGGGGAGTAAGCCAATAAGCAGCGCTCCTCCATGACCTCTGCCTCCCGGTTCCTGCCCTGTTTGAGTTCCTGTCCTGACTTCCTTTGATGAAGAACAGTAACATGGTAGCATAAGCCAAATAAACCCTTTCCTCCCCAAGTTGCTTTGGTCATGGTGTTTCGTCTCAGCAGTAGTAATCCTGACTAGGACAAGCACTAGGCAGTAGTCCTTGGAATATCATGGAATGTGAGATCTACAAAGGAGGAAATGTGTCTGGTTCAGCAGCATCCGGTGTCTAGAACAGTGCCTGATGAGAGCTGAAGCGTCATAAAGGGCAGAACACACAGGCTTTGGCTGGCTGCTCCTGGGAGCACTGCACAGAGAGCCCTGTTGTACTTGCAGCCTTCAACGTTACACAGCTCCGCAGTGTGGCCAAGAAGAACTGGCTTCTGAACATGGATTTTAAAAAAGAAAAATTGTAGCCAAATACTTGTGCACTGCACTTTCAGCTCCACTTTTGCCTCAGCCAATGAAGATCAAATTAACAGACAGGCCACAGGCAAGAGCAACGGGGCTTGAGAGAATCCCCCAGCCAGTCCTATCTGGTACTGTAGGCCAAGCCACAGGCTGGCTTTCAGGCATTCTGTGTATCCACACTGCTCCCTGCCAGCATTTACTCTTACACTGTGTTTTCTTATGCCTTAGTGAATCCAAACACTGAAATGTGTGTAGGAGTAATCATGTGGTTTCATACCCTTTTCTCTATTCTTCCTGCGATGATGTCACAGAAGGAATACACTTTCCAATCTTGTTGTCTTAAAAGCATCGGACCATGTATAAAAAATGACTTCCAAAGTACATACCATGTAGAAATGAATCCAAATGACCAGGAATGTTTTAGTCTTTAGAAGATTCCAGCAAGACTGTGAAGCCCCCAAACCACCTCAGATCTGCACACTCAACTGTCCTTGTGCCCTCCCCACAACAGGAGCATTGTTCTACCACTTACAGTTTGAAGGACTTCAATTGCTCTTCCACACTTCCCAACGTGTAGTCAATGACTTCATCTGCTCCAAGCTTCCTTACAAGTTCACTGGCATCTTGAGAGCAAACTGCTGTCACATGAGCACCCCACGCTTTCATTATCTGCCAAGGGGAGGGAAAGAGGAGGAGAGAGTGAAGAAATTGCAGTTTTTTTTAAAAAGAAAAAGTTGGTGCCAGGTGTACACCTATCAGAGTAATCTCTAGAGAACTTTCAAGTCCTCATCTTACCAAGAACTGTAGAAGGCTACCTATCAGACCTGGTTAAAATGATAAAACTTGTTTGTCAAGAAAATAGCTCTCATCTCCCATAGGCAAGACCACCTTTCTGTCTTGAAGTTTCTGCAGTGCCCCACCAGGACCAGAAAATCCAGGAGAGTCACAGCTCAAATTTTTCACCTTTAATGACAAAGGGCAAACAGCAGAGAAAAGAAAAACTTTCTGCATCCTCAGGCAATGAACTATGACAAAGCACCCGGAACATAAAAAGCAACACCTCTTCCTTTGCATCTCCAGAATCTCTTGAATCAGGCAGTGCGTCCAAGTTCCTGGGGTGACGGGCAGATAGGCAGAGTGCCTGCCAGGCAAGCTCGAGAACCCAACTTCAGATCCCAGCAGCCTAAAGTCCTATCTCTGCCTAAGATAAACAGCCTATCTATCTCTTAGATACAAGGTTATTAAGACAATAAATATGTACATTTGAGTTTTAGAACATGAACTGGGTCCTCTCCTTTGGAGTAAGAAGGCCCTAGATAAATGGTCTCTTGGTTTTAAAACACAAGTAACATATTTAAAATTAGACTTAATAAAAGCCCATAATTCTAATGTTATGCAGGTTTAGCATCTGAAATCCCCCTCCAAACCTGATATACTTCTTCTAAAATGTCAACTTCACAGATTAGAAGGGGACCATTTCCAGTTTAGTATCAGGCAAGATACTTCAAATTTATCAAGAAATTTGAATTGATATAGACCAAACCAAGCACGGTGACACACACATGTAATCCCAGCACTTTGGGCCATAGAGCCAAAGGATCAGGAACTCAAGGTCACTCTCAGCCATACAGTATTCAAGGTCAGTCTATGATGCACGGGACCCAACTCAAAACAAAAACAAATATTTCCCAATGATTCATATAACCTGAAAATCTGAGGAAATTGAACCACTGAGGAAGGATAACATAGTTTATTAGGTTTGTGGCCACAGACAGGGACTCTGGAGTAACGGAAGATACTGTTTCAACAGCAAGTCCTGAGTCAAAGTCACAGGGTGGAATCTAAGATGACCATCTTTTCCCCAGAATATATCAAGACATTATTGAGGAAAGAAAATAGCGTGCTAAAGACCTGCATCTTTACATGCTTTTCTTTAGAGATTTAAATTTGTTTTATGTATATGAGTGTCTGCTCCGTGTGTGTGTGTGTGTGTGTGTGTGTGTGTGTGTGTGTGTGTGTGTGTGTACCACAAGCATGCCTGTTCCCCACAGAGGCCAGATGGGGACACTGGACCACAAGACAGTTTCGAGCTGCCATGAAGGTGCAGGTAACCAAACCCCAGTCTCTTAAGAGTAACCAGTGCTCCTGACCACTGAACCACCCCTCCTGCTCTTGACCACTGAACCACCCCTCCAGCTCCTGACCACTGAACCACCCCTCCTGCTCCTGACCACTGAACCACCCCTCCAGCTCCTGACTACTGAACCACCCCTCCTGCTCCTGACCACTGAACCACCCCTCCTGCTCCTGACCACTGAACTACCCCTCCAGCTCCTGACCACTGAGCCATCCCTCCTGCTCCTGACCACTGAACCACCCCTCCAGCTCCTGACCACTGAGCCACCCCTCCTGCTCCTGACCACTGAGCCACCCCTCCACCTCCTGACCACTGAGCCACCCCTCCAGCTCCTGACCACTGAACCACCCCTCCTGCTCCTGACCACTGAACCACCCCTCCACCTCCTGACCACTGAGCCACCCCTCCAGCTCCTAAGTCCTCAGGAAGAATCTATCATGTGACAAACACTTCAGCTGTTTTCCTCTTAATGTCTAGCTTTTCCCGACCCACTTAGAACTGTCTAGTTATCTTTGACTATGACTAAAAAGTTTAGTGAAGAAGTTTTCACATAAAATAAAGTGCAAATACAGGAAGCACCTAGAAGGCAGAACCACTCAGATAAAGAAACAGAATACCTGTAACCATTCAGAGGTTCTTCTTTTCATCCTGTCTCAACACAAGCCCCTCTCTCAACCACCTCCTCCTTAAGTCACCATTATCTTGATTTTTACAGTAATCAATTCCTGACATTAAAAAAACTGTCATCCAAATATGCATTCCTCAGGCACTATTATTTTGGTTGTGCTCATTTTTTAAATATGGGGGGGGGGGGGGCTCCTCTAAATCACAGGCTGCTGTTCTATCCCTCTGCTCTCCTACGATTTATCTGTGGAAGAACCCAGGCCACACGACCTGCAGACTTGCCCCTAGTTTGGAACTTGTTTGCACAGGGGCCACTTCTGCATGTTGCTGTGTAGGAGATGGCTGTAAGGCCGGGTCAGGCTGGGCTTCAGTCTCTTTAGAAAACCATCGAGAGCGTCTCCCAAAGCTAGAGGACACCAGCTGTCAATGCTCAGGCCTCAGGCCTGTCCACTGGTGGCTGCAAAGTAGTAATGTTCCAGTTCTATTGCTTTTCATTCAGTAGTCGTAATTAATAAATATCTCCCTTCAAATACTAGATGGTTTGTTCAGTCAGACAGTTCATTAAAAACCGGTAGGACAGCGGATCTCTGGGTTCAGGCCAGCCTGGTCTACAGAGCGAGATTCAGGACAGCAGGGCTACACAGAGAAACCCTGTCTCGAAAAACAGATAAAATAAAAATAAAAAACTGGCTGGACAAAAGCTGGGGCTGCACATACGTGACAGATCACTTCCCTAACAAGCACAAGGTGGGGGACAATGCAGGAATATTTAATTATTTCCCTTTATCAATTTATAATACAATAGCTTGTTCCTCATAACCTTCCAAAAGTAATCACTTTTCAAAAAAGTACATCACCAAGAAACTCATGGATTTAAATCTTTATATGGATTCAATCTACTATCATCATTACAGAAAATTACTGCAGTTTCTCTAAGATGGCTCCCGACTCCGACACTGACCTAAAGGTTTGACGTACCCCTGCCATTGTGAAACTAGGCACGCTCACATGTGAACCCTGTAACTGCCCATTTCTCTACAGGCTTTGCATTCTTTCAGTGAGAAGCGATACAGCAAGAGACAGTTCACACATTCATACACTCCTGAGCTCTTACTGATAACCACTACTCAACTGGGAGAGCCAGGGCTGGCCACTAAGAGCCCTGGAGGCGTAGGCTGGCATGTAAGAGGCTGAGTTCAACCCCTGCACCATCTCCAAAATATTTAACAATTAGAATACGACTCATGCCTGTGATGTTCGCTCCGTGAGAATTTGTTAAACCACACATTTATGTCACATGTACTTTTTTGAGTTACATATCACAACAGAAAGTTTTAAAATATTTTTAAAATGTATATACACGTGTGTCTGAGTGAGTGTGTGCTATGTGTGCAGGTGCGGAGGGAGGCCAGCTACTTCTCACACTCTTACTCATAACTACAATTTCAATGAGTGACTATCACTCACAACTAAACCCAGAAGCACTAGAGGTGTAGCTCGGTGGTATAGAGAATCATGGACTAAAACCTCCAAATGATAAGTTAAACCTTGGCTTTTAGTAGGCAGATCGTCTCGGGTATACAGCAGCAGCAGCAGCAACAGCGACATCAGTTTGGTTCTCTGCCCCCTTGCCAACGTGTTTTTATTTCATTTATTATGACACCCTTAGGCGTGGCATGGTGACTTGTTGTGGTTCAGACTTCTATTTCCCTAAGGAAGAATGATGTTCAGCATCTTCCCATGAACTTATATATGATCTTTCAAAAACAGCATATTTTGAGTTTTTCCCATGTTTTTTATTGGTGTATATTGATTGTACAAAACAATGTGTTTTATTGTGTTTCCTTAATTCAGGATCTCATTATATACACTTGGTTGACCTCAAACTAAAGATCCTCCTGCCTCAGCCTTCCAAGTGCCGGGGTCGCAAGTTTTGCCACCATGCTTGGCATCTTTCTGTTTTGAAAATGATGTTGTCTTTCTGTTGTGTAGGTATGACTTCTTTATGTAGCATGGAGATCAGACCCTTATCAAATTGACAACTTATAAATACTCCCCCGTGGTGTGACAGTTAATACTGACTGCCAATCTGTAGGATCTAGACTCCCCCAGGAGACAAGCCTGTGAGCACCGCTGTGAGGGACAATCTAGGTTAGCTGAGGTGGAGAGACCCACCTTAATGTGGTGATGCTGGTTCCCGGGCCAGGGTCCCAGACTGTGTCAAAAGGAGGAAGCCAGGTGAGCACCAGCACTCATGGTGCTCTGCTTCCTGACTACAGGTCCTCCAGATCCTGCTGCCCCCAAGTGACCAGCTGTCCCCAGATCCTGCTGCCCCCAAGTGACCAGCTGTCCCCAGATCCTGCTGCCCCCAAGTGAACAGCTGTCCCCAGATCCTGCTGCCTGACTTCCCTTTCCTCTTAAAGCACTTTTTTCACACATTTTGTCACAGCTACAAGGAAAGTAACTGAGACATATTGGTTGTTTTTTAAATCTCCTTAATAGTGACCTTCGATGTATCAAGATTTTTCCCTCTTTTTTTTTTTAAGGTTATTTATTTATTATGTATACAGTGTTCTGTCTGCATATATGCTTGCAGGCCAGAAGAGGGCACCAGATCTCATTACAGATGGTTGTGAGCCACCATGTGGTTGCTGGGAATTGAACTCAGGACCTTTGGAAGAACAGCTAGTGCTCTTAACCATTGAGCCATCTCTCCAGCCCGTATCAAGATTTTTAACTTGGTAAAATACAACTTACTTGCTTTTTAAGTCTATTGTTTATGTTTTTAGTGTCACATCTAAGAATCTGCTGCCAAATCTAAGGGGATGATTATTTATAGCTGGTTTCTTCTGAGAGTTTTATGGTCAGTGCTCTTATGTTTAACTCTCTGACTCACCTTGAATTATTTCTGTGTATCTTATAGGTAAGGGTTCAATTCCCTTCTTTTGTAGGTGGACATCAAGTTGTCTCATCATCTGTTGGCAGGACATTTTCCCCTCACTTAACCGTTTTGCATCCTTGTTAACAATGAAATGATGGGGCTGGAGTGATAGCTGCTCTCCCACAGGAGCCTACATCAGTTACCAGCTCATAACCACTACAACTCCAGCTTCAGGGGATCCAACACCCTCTTCTTGCCTCTGCACACACATGCCACACATTCACGTAGACACACAAAAAACTGACCACACATGTATAGATTTGTCTCTGAATAGTTAATTTTTTCCACTGTGTTCTTGTTGTGTTTTTTTTTCTCTCACTCGCTCTCTCCCTCCCTCCCTCCCTCCCTCCCTCCCTCCCTCCCTCCCTCCCTCTTTTGGCAATGTTGTTTACTGCTAAACCGTAAACCTTTAACTACAACCACCACCATGGTCTTCCTCCACACATTCAACTTTTCCACACTAAACAACTGGAAAGGTTAAGGTTCCCTTTGTATTAGAACATATCCGTTTGGGTCACTGAAACTAAAAGGCATGTCCTAGACACCCTATTTTTCTTTCACTGTGAGAAAACACTGACCAAAACCAATTTGGGAAGTAAAGTATTTCAGCTTACAGACTGCACTCCATCATCAAGGAAGTCAGGCAGGAACTCCAGGCAGGAGCTGATGCAGAGGCCAGGGAGGGGTGCTGCTCACTGGCTTGTTCTCCACGGCATGCTCAGCCTGCTTTCCTCTACAACCCGGGACCACCAGCCCAGGGGTGGCACCGCCCACACTGAGCTGGGCCCTCCTCCATCAAACATGAATCAAGACAACGCTCACAGCCAGGCCCACAAGCCTGTTTGCTGGAGGCCATTCCTTACTGAAGTCCCCTTTTCCCAGGTAACCACAGCTGGTTTCAAGCTGACAAATGAACCAGTTCACTGGCCCCAGCTTTGAAGGAAAGCTGATCTATAAATTCACAGAGACAAAGGTCTTCCCAGTCACAGGATTAAGAAAGTCTTTTACCTGTATCGCAAACGTGCCAACTCCACCCGAGGCCCCCAAGATTAACGCACTGCAATGGAAGACAGAACACAGGAGTGAGACTCTGCAGACAGGCCTGCCACGCAGAACGCTGAAAAGAAGAACCCCTCAGTGACAATCCCTCCCCAGAGCAAAGCAGTCTTTCACCTTTCCAAGACTGAATTACACAGACTTCACCAGGAAGATTCAGATGCTTGAAATGAAACATTATACAAGCTGCAAACATAAGCACCTAACAACTTCCTTTGACTGCAGTTCGGATGGCACTTTGAAACTCCGTTCGACAGTTTCTCTAGGCTGAAGTCACGACCTTCCTCTGGAAGGAGGAAACCTGAGGTGCTTGTTAATGCGGCTCGCTCAGAAAAGTCACGTTCCTGACCGCATTCCTGCCATGGCGGAGGGAACACCTTGTGTTCAGGCATGTCCTGCTGAACTCAACTGTCACAGACAGGACTCTCATCCTCTGTATGACTTCCTGTGGAAGCAAACACCTGTGTCCTGTCAGCACAGGCTCTTAGCACACTTACTCAGTGACCTCCCACCACTCGGGACAGGGGGCAGGCCTGGGGTCCGTGGAGAGTGGAGTAGAGTTAAGAACGGAGGGGGAGGGGGGAGCCGGAGTCTCTAAACACAATGCAAGGCCAGGTGTGCATAGGATACAGACCTCCCGTCCATTCCAAAGAAGTCCGTGAGCTGAAAGAGATCAGTGGTCAAAACTCACCGCATCAGGCAGGCAGGCAGGATGGTTCAGTGGGTAAAGGTACTTGGTGGGAAAGCCTGACCACCTTGAGTTCAACCATCGGAACCCACAGGGAAGGGGAGAACAGACTCCTGAAAGTTGTCCTCTGACCACACACACACACATACACACACACACACACACACACACACACACACACACACACATACACACACAGAATAAAAAAATTTTTTTGAAAGGATCACTGCTTTGCCTTCTTGGCCGGGTCTCAAATGCCTAGAAAACCGTGTTGATCTGCAGTTCGGGGCTGTGTCTCCAACAGAGGGGGCGGGGGACACCGCACAAGGCTTGTCTGGTATCTGCTACTATATTACCGACTCTGGGAGACGGTCTCATGAAAGTTCCGAGTGCCCACAGCAAAACAGTCTTCTGAGACTAAGTGGTGGGCGTGGCGGCTGCTTGTCTGCCTCTGTCATTACGTAACTGCTACTTACGGCCCTTTTCTTCACGACCAGACAGTACAGAATTTCACCTCCTACTGCTGCCCGGTGCACTGAACCTCACAACACACACTCCGTCTATAATCTTAACCCCAGTTTCATTTTTCCTGTCCCTCACTGGAATCACAGAGGCTGATTATTATCATCTGTTATATGGTAAAAGTTATTACTATAATTTCCAAGCCAGCTGTTCCCTTTGAAATACCATTAAATATAATTAAAAGAAGTCTCCTTGCAAATCATGTTCCTTCTTCAAGTAGTTTTCATCTCACAAAACTATCAACAGTGAAGAAAAGAAGAAACTCTGGAGATGTCTCGATCCTCCAAATTTCCACCTCAAGCTTTACATACACCCTCAGTATTTCTAAGTGGAAAGCACCCCACACCGTCTCGAACCAAACTATACAAACAAAGAAAACCTGTCAGACAGATCATCTAACAATGAATCTACCCACAAAATATCTGATGCTGACTTTTTGCTCATTATCTAAATTAGTGAAACTTCAAGAAACTTCGAGCTTCTCTTTTATATTAAGACAGAGAAAAGAACAGACATTTGATCAAGTTTGTAGTTGTCTGTGACCTGGTAATTTTTGAGTCAGGAGGTTATTTGTTTAAGAAAATGCCTTTCTGGTGGCTTACGGATATTTTCTAAGGAAGCCGCAGATCAGAGGCCATTATTCTTAGAAACACCATGGCATTACTCTATGCCTGATGGTTCGTCTGCTTTTTGTTTTCTTTCTTTGTACAAGTGGATGGGGCAAAGGCATTCCATACATGGAGACACTCTCAGCAGATAACAGGTTTTCAGACGTGGGCGGAGAGCCTCTTGTCTCTTGTTCAATGTGGGCACCTATTTCTACTTCACAGGCACTGAAGGACAGAGACCTCCTATCACACCCTGTGCTGGCCAGACCATCCTTGATGCCCAGCCGGGGTTTGACTTCATACAAACCATCGCACCACCATCTGACGAGCAGCACAGGCATTGCTACCACCTGAAGAGAGGGGATCACTTGGCTACGTGACAGACTGCATTCAAGTTTCTTCCAGTAAAGGAAAGCTTGAAATGCTTTTCTAGGGGGCTGGAGACATGGCTGCTCTTCCAGAGGACCAGAGTTCAATTCCCAGCATCCACACGGCAGCTCACAACTGTCTGTATCTCCAATTCCAAGGGATCTGTAACTCCACACATACATACACCTTCACAGATGTCTATGCAGGCAAAACTATAATGCATGTAGAATAAAAATAAATAAATCATTAAAATTTTTTAAAAAAGACTCTAGTTTCTCCCTGGGAAGACAGGATCAAAAGGATACCAAATATAATGGCTGCCTGGGGACCCAACTGCCAGACACATCTCTGACTCAATTCCTGTCAGCTTGTCTCTTCCCCATAACCTTAATCAAAGTAGCTTCACTTCCTAAATAACAGCAAAATTACCTCACAAAAGGAAGGCTTGAGAACCAGGTTTGGCAACCAGTGTCAGTTCCCAATGCTGCCACCTGAGGGCGCCCTCAAAGTGCAAAATGCCCAGGAGCAGGCTCAAGAAGTGCTGAAGACACTTGGGACACAATTTTCCAACCGTCCAAACTTTAGCTTTGCATAGGATCAAGCAAGGCCTATTCTTTTTTCAAACAAAGTAAATCTCCAAAAGGACAACAGGCAAAATGAATTCTAAAGTCAGCAATAAGCTGACTGTTCCCGTGGCTAACCTACCCTCAGTCTATAAAGTACCTCTGAGCTCTAAGGCATGCTGCAGCACCTCCCTCCCAGCAGCACTTAGGTGCTGTTCCAGGAGCGTTTCCTGACCTTGCTTACTGTAAGGGCCACACTATACATGCAAATCCAACCAAGCTGGAACCTTGGCACAGTGAAGAAAGTGTGCTGTTCGTTGGTTTACGTCAGTGGTTCTCAACCTTCCTAACGCTGCGACCCTCTAACACAGTTCATGTTGTGCTGACCCTCAACCATGAAATTATTTGTGTTGCTACTTCATAACTGTACTTTTGCTACTGTTATGGCTTGTGATGAAAATATTTTTGGAGATAGAGGTTTGTCAAAGGGGCCGCGCCCCACAGGTTGAAAACCACTGGTTTAGATAGAAACAGCCCAAGAAATATTACACTTGCAAGAGCACTTTAATTCAAAATTGCCCATGTTTTTAGTACATGACCACTCACTTCCAAGTCCACACAGCTTACTCTGAAGGTTCTGAGGACTGTACTAGTGGCAGACCTAGAAAACATGGGGAAATATGAATAATTATTATATTGCTATGCATTCTTCTTTGTTGTTGAGACAGGGTACTAGGTAGCCCTGGTTGGCCTCAAACTTGTTATGTAGTTGAGGGTGGCCTTGAACTCCTGATCCTCCTATCTCAGCCTCCAGAGTGCTGGGAATACAGGCATGTGCCACCATACTTGCTCTCTAAACTCTAAATCCTAGCTTGCTGTCATTTCTGCCTAATGTCTAAAGTCTCTCTAAATAAGCATGAAGATACTGATGATGTAATGGTGGTTTCTCTGGAGAGACGGCTCAGCAGTGAGGAATGCTTGCTGCTCTTCCAGAGGACCCACCTGGGTTCAGTTCCCAGCACCCATGGCAGGTGGCTTTCAATCACTATAACTCCAGCTCCAGGTCAGACTTCCAGCCTCTACAGGTACCCTCACACACGAGGCACACACACACACATACACACACACACACACACACACACACACACACACACACACACACACTCAAGGAGGAGCCAGGAGGAGGGACTTACCCTCAAGTTTCTATCTGGGTTGGCCTGTAGAAAACTGGGCTGCAAATGCAGAGCTCTAGGCTCGGCCTCAATCATTCTCTAAGGGAAACACTAGGTCTCAGATTCATGAACCGCAAAGGGCTGAGCAGAGGCGGAGTCTGAGATAGTGAACATAACTGGTAATTCAAATGGAATCTCATCTTCTGCTTCCTTTCTAACCCGTGTGGCTGACTTCCCTGACTCCCCACAAGATTAAAGACCATCTATTAGATCCTACTGGCTAAGAAACAAAAATGATATTAAGTCTGGCTACATTTTCTACAGGAAAAAACAATGATCTTTAAGAAAGCAAGATGGTGCTGGTGATGAACCATATTTCAGCTTCATGAGCTCTTTTAAATGTGGGAGTGTGGATACGGGTGAAACTGCAACCGAATTATCCCAGCACAACACACTGCTTACCTAACCGTCTAAGTTTCCCTGCTGAGTAAATAAGTATTATCTCAAATAATAAGTGAGATAATAGTTATAAAACAATCAACCAAATGTGACTAAGACAGCCTGGATTTGTTTTCTTTCCTTCTAAACCTCTGTAATTTATACTGACATTTCCCAGTTTACAGGACAGTTCATGTGTGAATTAGACATTTGAAATGTAAATACATTTTCCCATGAAAACAAAGCTATTTATATACACTTTGGCAAATGCCCAAGGTAACTGTTTCTAACCCATAAGGGCTGGAGAACTTCGGACACAGGCTAACAATACTTCTATTATCTACGATTATTCAGAATTTTGCCTGGGCCTTGGGATGGATCTTCTAAGTGGGACAGGCCTTGGGAACAGGCTTGAATTCCGAGCCACACAGAAACAGACTGAAGGAAGGAAGGAATGCTGATGGCAATCATGATGAGAGGTTGTTCAAGTAGACTGCCAAGGTGCCAGTGAAGCTCAAGCCTCAGCCCTTCACTCACACAGAGCGTGGCAGTGTGGCAGCACAGACACATGGCTTCATACAACGTAACACAACTAAAGCATAATCAGCTAAGATGGAGGTCTCTTCCCACCCTCTACTCGGTCCTTCACACACACACATACACACACACACCCCTCCACTCGGTCCTTCACACACACACACCCCTCCACTCGGTCCTTCACACACACACACACACACACACACACACACACACACACACACACATACCTTCACTCAGTCCTACACACACACACACACACATACACACACCCCTCCACTCGGTCCTTCACACACACACACACACACACACACACACACACACACACACACACGCATGCACACGCACACACACACACACACACACACACACACACACCCCCTCTACCCCCCCCCCCCCCCACCTGACACACTAGCTTCGGCTGGGAAGTTGCTGCCACAGACACAGGCTCTCCTCCTACTCATGGTTTTACATTCTGACGTTCTAGTTACCCACCCTCAATTGTGGCTCCAAAGTAGAAAATCCAAAATTACAGAAATAAATAATTCCTAAGTTTTAAATAACTTTTACTAGAGCTTACCGATAGAACTGTTCTATTTTATCTTTGGATTCAGAATCCATTGGGGAATTTATGTCTTCATGGATAAGAGGAACTGTTGTACATCTGCTTTGGATTTAATGGGGAAAACTGTATGTGGTTCCTAGTCATTTCTGCATAGAAATAAGTTCTTGCTAGCTGCTCTGGCTTAATAATGCCTTCCAAAGGCAGGGCTAACTGTTGGCCTGCAATCCCAACACTCAGGAGCCTGAGGAGAAGATCAAATGTTCAAAGTCAGCCTAGGATACACAGAAAGAACCTACTAGATAGCAAGATGGCTCAGCCAGTTGAGGATCTGAGTTTGATCCCTGGAACCCACACAGTGGAAGGAAAAAAGAACTGTGGGGCTGGGAAGATGGTCAGTGGGTAAAGTCACCTAGCACCAAGCCTGACCACTGAGTTCCATTTCCTGAGGCCCATGTGATGGAAGGAGGGAACCAACTCCTGCAAGCTGTCCTCTGACAGTACACGGCCTGCTCCACACACAAAAAAAATGTAATTCTTTTTCAAAGGAACTGTGCCATTTGATTCTGGTATCACCTCCAACTCTCCCTCCCTTTCAGTTACTAACTAACTGATCTGGAGTGCCTGCTTTTCTATCAAACAAAACAAAAGAAAAGAAAATCAAAAGAATGAATTTCACTGTCAACTCTCTTTGTAAAAGAACATCTTTTACATTGATTTGTTTCCTGGGGGAGGGGCCCCAGGGGGTGAACTCAGGTGTCAGGTTCAATTACAACCTCCTTCATCCACTGAGCCATCACCAGTCCCTAAGTCAGTGTTCTAAACTACAAACTACATTATATGTCCTTGTTCATAACAGAAGCCACCATTATTGAGGGCTACCACCTTTACATGCTTTCTCTCACTTAACTTCAAAACAAAGCTCCGAGAGATCAATCGAACAGGTGTCCCAGCTGTGGAGCAGCAGAATCAGAACAGGAATGAAAAGATGGCAGCTCTCCCACCCAGAGAGCATCTCAGAGCCGCTGTGGCTATCTGTTCTACACATGCTTTACATACTGGTTTTTCTCACACCTACAGAACTATGATCAGGTTTATAAGTTGGGTAAAATGAATAAAAAATTTGTAATTTATAACAACACAATCTAACAATATACTGCAATAAAGGTTACACGAGTGTAAGGGTTCCCTCGTGCTTCTAAACCGCTGGCTCTCCTGAACTCATCCTCTCAGATCATGGCTGACCACAGGAACAGCGACAGAAACTACAGAAGGTGAAAACACAGATGACGAGGATAAACGAACGCCAGACAGGGTCACTGTGTCACTGCTGACCTAAACAAGCCTATATTCTAGTCACTGGAGCGTCAGAACTGACCTCCAAGATGTAAATACGGAGCCCAAGGGAACTCAGGAGTATTCAACACCACTAAATACACGAAGCTGTGAGCAAGTCCTGGTCGGGAGAAAGTACCACTCTCAGCTTGGCACGTTCCTCATAGGGTACAGAGGCTCGTACCTTTCCTAGGAGCCTCCCCAAAGCTGGCTCTCTTCTCCAGAGGCTCACATAGAAACTTCTGCCCCAGGGCTCCAGAGATGGCTCAGCTGTTAAGATAGCTTTGTGCTCTTGCAGAGGACATACACTTGGTGGCTCACAACCACCTGTAACTCCAGTTCCAGAAGATCTGATGTTTCCTTTGGCCGAGACACCTGCACGCATGTGGTGCACATAACCTCACGCAGGCATGCATACACATAATATATAAATATAGAATATATATGTAATATAAAAAAAAGTTTAAGTGCCCTAATACAGGAAACTCAAACTCCTAGATAGCTCAACTACACATCTTTTAAAATCTCCATTGGATTCAGCTGAGACTCCACAGCATGAGGCTTTAAAATAAATGGGTCAAGTGTCAGCACAGCTGGTCACACAGCTATGGTAATCTCAGCACAAACAGATCTGCTGTAAAGAACTAGAAGACGAAAAGGAGCTTCAGATGTCACACCGCACTTACCGTTTTCCCATGCAATTCTTGGCGTTCAGACCACCAACCTTGTTTATGGCAGACCAGGCTGTGAGAGCCACATACGGCAAAGAGGCAGCTTGAGTATGAGTGAGTGACTTGGGCTTGTGCGAGACCTACATTGAAAGACAATGGTCAAAACCAGGCAGGAACGTGCAAGCCTATATACACGGCTAAGCATTTACTTTCACAGGAAAGCAAGAATTTTCACGGAGAAATGTATAAACTACTTCTAGGTTCAGTGTTTACTGCACACCCTACTCCAGAGTTGGTTTCAGAATAGTCTCCAAACAGCTCTTTACCTGATCACAGAGGCTCAGTAATGTTTTGCAGCCTACATTATTAGATATACCACTTCACTGTTTATTTAAAAAGACCATATATAATAATCATGATTATTAGATATACTTCGCTGTTCATTTAAAAAGACCATATATAATAATCATGTTAGACCTGACTATACCCAGAGATAAATTCCAATAAACCTCAAATCCTGATAAACACATTTTAATTCATTTTTGAGATCAATTGCTTCCTTAACTCTGTTTTCTGGAAAGTAATATTTCTAGACTTTTTTTTCTATCCTAGTAATTCCTAATGCCTCGTAACTCCTAATTCCTTCTCCAGGCTCCTTCTGGGGCATTTCCTCAATATTAACCCTTTCTCTCTACTAACTGTTAGGTCCCTGACTATATTTGATTCCTCCATGCCTCTCCCTTGGGTATATTTGGTACCTACTGGGTAGAGTGGAGAGCATGGCAGCGTTCACACCTCAGCCCACGTCTCTGCTCTAAGGATACAGATGACTGCCCCAGCAGGCAGTGCTAATAACTAACCCCAAACAGTTTGCACGCTTTCAAAGTTTCCCAGTCTTTATTTTAGCTCTCTCAAAGTTGCCCATAAAACATGAATCTAATCTGAAAAACCATCAATAACTTTCGAGATGCCTGCCAGTCTCCTTATACAACTAAGCATTTCAGCAGAGATGGCGAGTTACCTCATTCCCACTGACCACAACGAATTCTGAGAGAGTGCCTTGTTTCCAAGGAGGAACCGCAGCCCAGACCTGAAACGCAGACGTGCAGCTTTATTAGACACAGAGATGTCTGACCCAAGCTGAGCATGAAGGCATTCCCTAACACACGGCTATCTTGAGGGGGCAGGGGGTGCTCCAGTAAAAAAGTTAAGCTTCACATAATACCAATTCATTGCTGAGTACGATTCTGGATTTAGCAACTCAAACCACACTGGATACACATACTAATATACCTGCCACATTCAGTAAGACTCTTCTGGGGATCTAGGACTTACTAGCTGTGGCTTTCAACTTTATATATATATATATGTATATGTATGTATGTTTGAGACAGGGCCTCATCAGGTAGCCCAGGGGGACCCCAAATTTTTCATCTCAGATTCCTTAGCGCTGGGATTACAGGTGAGCCTCACCATGCCCAGCTGGCTGAGGGACACTTTATAACAGGGTCTCCTCAACTGCAAGCTGGCCTGGCTGTGCTGACTCACAGGGATTATCTTCTCTGTGAAAAGAAACCAGAACACGGCCAGTACCATGAGCTCACTACTATCTCTTGGCAGAAACATCCAAAGTGACAAGTGTACAGGGAGATTGTACCAAACGTTAGCTATTTCAAAGCTAGCTAACCCATAAGGTAGAAACTGTCCTTTAAAGACTCAAGCAAAACAAGTAGTCCTAATCCTATATGTTTTAAAGTCTTGCAATTCTTAAGTACTAAGTTAGAAAATTCAAGTACAAGCTGAGCATGTGGCTCATGCCTGTAATGCTAACACTAAGGAGGCCAAGGCACTGCCACGGGTTCAAGACAAGCCTGAGCTACACAGTGTTCCAAGCAGCAAGACCCTGTCTCAGAAAAAGAAAGGAAGGAAGGAAGGAAGGAAGGAAGGAAGGAAGGAAGGAGGGAGGGAGGGAGGGAGGGAGGGAGGGAGAGAAGGAAGGAAGGAAGGAAGGAAGGAAGGAAGGAAGGAAGGAAGGAAGGAAAGAAAGAAAGAAAGAAAGAAAGAAAGAAAGAAAGAAAGAAAGAAAGAAAGAAAGAATAGGAAAGAAGAAACAACTAAACCAATAAGTGTTCTGGCCAAAGGTCAGTCAGTACACAGTCAGTGGTAAGAGAGTCTATTTCCGAAGGAAGCAGGATCAGCCTCACCAGGTCACCCATGCACCTGCAATCCCAACACTTGGGAGGTGGAGGAGGATTAAGAGCAAAAGCTATCCTCGGCCACAAACCAAGTTCGAGACACAACTATACTCAGTTTACAATCATTTTAAAAATTAAAAAGTAGAATGGAAATTGCATATTTAAAAAAAGGAATAAAGAGAGCTGGGCATAGTGGCACATGCCAGTAAACCCAGCATTTGGGAAGCAGACACAGCAGAATAATATGTTCACGGGCATCCTGTGGTGGTTTGAAGGGGAATGGCCCCTACAGGCTCAGATATTTGCATGCGTAGTCCCCAGCTGATGAACTCTTTGGGGAGGATTAAGAGGTGTGGCCTTGTTGGAATGGATACGTCCTTGTTGGAGTTGGGGGTTGGCTTAAAAGTTTCAAAATCCCATTCCAGGCCCAGTGCTCTTGGATCAGTATGTAAAGCTTTCAGCTAATTCTCCAGCACCATGCCTGCCTGCATGCCACCATGCTCCCCATCATGATAACGGACTAACCCTCTGAACCTGTAAGCGAGCCTCAATTAAATGCTTCCTTTGATAAGAATTGTCTTGTTCATGGTGTCTCTTCACAGCAATAGAACAGTGACTAAGACACTTAGTATGTATGTAACAAGTTGAGACCAGCCTGAGTTACATGAAAATCAGTCTCAAAAACAAAAGCAAGAAAAGAGAAGAGTTGGAGAGGAGGAGAGGGAGAGGGAGGGGAGACGATAAGGAAAAAGGATTAACTCACCTCATCTCCAGGCTTGAAATACTTCACATCAAGCCCACACTCCATCACCACACCAGACACATCCCGACCCAGAGTCAGAGGGAACTCTTCTCCTTTGGTTCTTATATGCAGAGGATCACGCTTCATATTTAAAGCTGTTGCTCCATAACCACCTACAAAACACAATTTACCTGCTTCTTAAAGGAAAAGGCCAGAATGATTTTAAATATTGTAGGACACAGGCAGGTCGATGTCATATGCTCCATCGTAGACTCTATTGTTTGGTCACTACACAGTGCAGTGTAAAAACAACTGGGTGTTGCTCCTTTCAAAGAAAATTACTTAGAAAGCTGCAATCACTAAAACCACAATTGCTCAAAGTCTCTTTGAAACTCAGATTGCAAAACTGTCTTCTGCAGTTTTAGAATCCTCTTTTACATAATTGCTCTTTGAAGATGGTATCTCTATTAATTTAGTCATTTGCAAACTTTTAAAGTTTTTAGACAGGATCTTGCTATGTAGCCCAGGCTGGCCTTAAACTCCTGACCCTCTTATCTTGGCCGGAATGCTGGGGCTACAGAGATGTGCTACCATGTTTGTATGAGCTTTTAGCAACTTCTTTAGTCTGTAAAGAAGATAAACGTTCAGGCTGTTAAAGAATTCATACATTAAAGTACCTGATACTAACACTCGATTATGAGTTTGAGTTCTAGTCTCCATCTCCTAAAAAATCTATCTAGAATAATGATTTGAGTAAGTGCAAAGAATTACAGTGGAAAGGAGCTGCTGAGCTGCATCTGATATGTCTGATCAGGTCAATTGCATTATATCTGGGGGGTGGGGTGCACTGTTTTTGGAGGTTGTTTTTGAAACAGTGTCTCACAGTGTAGCCTTGGTTGACCGGGACTAACTCTGTAGACCAAGCTGACCTCACAGAGATCCATCTGCTTCTGCCTCCCCAGTGTTAGGACTAAAGAAAGGTGTGTGGTACCACACCCGGCTCATATCTTGTTTTTAAGGATATTTACACAGATAACAGATAAGTCAAATGAAACCATTCTTTTGGTCAAATGAATTAACTACTCTATGTGCCATAATAATCCAAAGTAAGTAGTGGGCCTCGCTACTCCAGAGGAGTTCTCAAAACCAAGGGAAGACCCTTGAAGATATTTAGTGCTGTCTTCAAGTGAGACCAAAAGCCGCAAAGGGACTCTAAACTAGCAGAACACCCCAGACAGGGCAGAAGGAGAAGTAACAATAGCCACGAGGGTGTACACTCATGTGAATGACCCACTACAAGAGAACAAAAAAATGCTGGAGAGAAGTGATGCTCCCGAGAAAGTGAGGCAGGATCCCGGAGACACGAGGAAGGTCAGCCTTAGATGGGGCAGTGACAACCAATCTACACAGCAGTGAAAAGCAGATAAGGGGGATGCTGATGGGTGGGCAGTCTGCGGAAGCTGTTTTCCTAAAGGGGGAAAAAAAGAAAAATCAAGGCACTTGGGAGAAAAATCAAAGTTGGGACAGTCCCAGAAATACTTCAGCTGGGGGTCCTTAGGCCAACATTCCACACTTGCCATCTGGCTAGCTAGAACGTCACTTCATCACAGAAAACGACAAGAGTGCATGGGAGACTCACAAGGGCACATGCTCACCTTCCCTGTCTATATGTATTTCCCTCTGCTAAGACACAGATAGCATTTACTCACTGAAACCCTTTGTGGTCTGAGCAACAGAAGCGTACAACAGGTCCGACTGTTTCCAACTGTTTTCTTAATAACTCTAATATGCTAATCTACTAAGAGTCTCACATCAGGATGCGGCCAGCTTGTAGTGAGAAGCCTGTTTGGTGACAAAATGGGGTTTAAGCTTGTCACGCCAGCTTCGGGTGGTAGCACACATAACTGGAACCCTAGCACTTGTGGAACGCAGGCAGGAGGGTCAGGAGTTCGGGATCATCCTCAGCCACCTTGAGTCTGAGGCCAGCGCAGCCCACAAGAGATTCTTACAAAAAGACAAGAGTGCCTCCCACTAACACAGGCTTGACTTGTTCAGAGTTGGGCTAATTTGGAAAACCCAAGATTTCATCAATTTCAGAGATTTTAATCCCATCTAGAGAAACCAAACTTTGTTGTATATGCTGTTGGCGATATTATTTTAAAATTATTCGTTGCTTTAGCCATTTCTATGATTATTATTTTATGTCCAGCAGTAGTGGCCATTTTCAGAAAAACAGCCTTTATCTGTCAAAATAGATGTTTCTCTTGTTTTCTTCTCAAGGGAAATAATTAATTTTCTACTTAAATATTTCTCAAAGCTACCATATAACACTTTCTCAAAAAGCATCCATGGGCTGGAAGATAACTTGAAAATAGTATTACCCAATCAAGTAATAAGATACTAGATCATCTCAAAAGCACTCTATGAAAGTAAAACGTGCTACAGTATTATATGAAACAGCAGCCTAGAAAGATCTGGACACAGCCATTCTGTTGAAATGAAACTGTACACAGCACACATTGTGGACTCACATCTTATAAAACAAAATTCCCTTTAGGCCTAATGTAAAAAATAAAAAATTTAAAATGAAGTAAAATATCATATCCAACTAGGAAGAGTAATTATTACATCAGCAGAAAACCAGAGGGAGAGAAATGTAGCTCACTGTCCAGCACTGAAGAAAAAAAAATTAAACATAGACAATTGCAATAAAGGTATTTTCAATTGTATCATCATCATCATCATCATCATTTGGTTCTCGGAGACACTTAATGGCTCAGTCCATGATGGCCTTGAACTCCCTATCCCCTGTCCCTACTTCTGAAACTACAGCCTGAGTTTGTTGATGTTTTGTTTGTGTGTCTGTTTTAACACCTAGGCCAACCTCAGACTTGCTATGTAGCTGAGAATGACCTTGACCTTCCGGTCCTCCCGGCACTACTTCTCCAGTGCCTGGACTGCAGGTGTGCACTGCCACACCCAGCTTCTGGAGCTCACACCCAGGACTCTGCAGGGGGCAGGCAGGTACTCTTATCAACTAAGCTAGCTCGCCAGTTTCCAGAGTTTTCCAGCTCGAACATTTGAAGACTCCAGACCCTTCTCCAAATTTCCTCCTCTGAAGAAAAGCTACTAAGAGTTATTCTGACAGGTAAAGGAAACAAAAGTCATTTTAGGGATACTTTACTCAAATATCCACAATATTCCCAAGATAACATGTAATTCTTTTGTTTTGTTGTGTTTATTGCTGCTAATGCTGGGGATCTGGCCCAGGGACATACATGGCTACATAAAGGAATTACTACTGAGCTATACCTCTGGCCCTGATAAAAATATGATTGAGACATGTTTAACTCTTTTCTTATCAGGTATTTGAAATCTAGTGTATTTTACAGTTGATTGTACTTTCAATTCAGCCCAGCAATACTCACTGCTCAAGCCATATGTGGCTAGTAGCTACTATCCTCAGCAATATAGGTCTAGGAAGTCACAATGTTAAATGTAACATTCAACATTAGAGCCAAATGACCTAATATCCATAAATCTGGACTTGAATTCCCAAACCCAGAGGTTCTCCCAGTTAGGTATGCCTGTAATTTGAACACAGTATCTAAAAAAATGTTTCTCCTTTTCCAACAATCTTTGTGAGGCCTCCTTTTCATCATTACTTCAAATAACAGTGTAATGGAATACAGAACTATGTATGAAAACCCAGCTGTCGTATGAAACCAGGCAGGAAAGAGATGTGCACAGGCATACAACAATGCTAATCATCTCATTAAATTTCTTGCTTTATTTTGGAAAATATTTTTTACAACTTATTAAATTTTCTTTATTTGGGGGGTAGCACAAATGTGCCAGAGACCACTTTCCAGAGTGATTTCTCTCCTTCTACCGTGTGGGTCACAGGGACTGAACCCAGGTCTTGGGGCTCAGCAGCAAGTGCCTTTACCCACCAGCCTTCTCACTGCATAAATAGTTCTTTTACCCCAGTAACCCCTTTGGAGGTAAATCCTGTGCTATGTTAACTACTGCTCATTTGAGTGGTTCATATATGTAGCTGTCTTTCAGTCCTTTTATACTTAACTCCTGTTTTAATTTTCTATTTACTGTATTTTAAAATAAAAATTTTAGCATTTGTTCAAATTTCTGATAAGATGGTTATAACTCATATAAAAGTTCAGTAATTTTCAGATACAAATGAGACTTGAAGCCAAATTTGAGAATTGCTACTCTATCACATCATTTCTGGAGAAAAAGTGAAGTTGGTCTCACATTTTCTTCTATTTTTAACTTAATCTGTAACCAGATAATACACACATATACACATGTATGTACATATAAAGAGAAATTAAGTTCGTCACACATTAAGTCATGTATGAGAACTGTTGCTGAGGCACTGAATGCAACTGTAGGTCCCCACACAAGCCCCTCAGAACACTGACCCAGGGTTAAACGTATGGCAGCTTCCTTAAACACTGGGACGTTAACTGCCTCAGAATTAATACTGACATTAGTCATCTCAAAACATGTTCATCTTCAGAAGACACAGACTGAGCTTCCATAAGCAAGACTGACAATATTTTTGTCAACATTTTTCCAGAGTTAAAGTAATTCATAAATACAAACCAATCTGTTCACTATTATAACAGAATAACAGTATAGGATACATTCAAGGAATGCTCTCTCCAAGCTTTTCAACATGGCCCAGCAAGAAAAATGAGGATGATAACATTACTCCAATCTCAACAAGTGTATATATAACAAGAAAATACATTTTAGCTACCGAGGGCAAAATGCAAAATGAGAAATGAGAATACTATGCCCATATCTTGGAGTCCTGCTCTGTTGCTTGGTACCCTGGGACTATAACAGAAGCTGTGAAGAATGGGAGAGCAAGGAGGATACAGGAAGTATATAAATCCCAATTCTGAACCAATGGGGAAACAACCAAACTCTGAAACCTATGCCTGACCCTAAAATTACCACCCAGTAAATTAACTGTAGGCACCACTTCTCAGTCCCAATTCACACTTTGAAAGAAAGCAACCAAACACACTTAATAAAAGATTAAAGAATTCCTTGGCTATTGTGGCCTCAGAATTTTAGAAGTATTTACAGGGATATTATCAAAAATCCTACACGACTCTGGATGGCTCTGCCTATAGGGCCACTTGCCACCAAGCCAGATGGTCAGAGTTTAATCCCCTGGGCCCAAACGGTAGCAGGAAGGAACCCCGTTCCACATGTTGTCCTTTGAGCTCCAATTAAGCACTGTCCCATGCACCCAGACACAAAATAAATACACATAACAATAGTAAACCTAAGTGACTCCTTTATGCCAACACTTGCTATCCCAGGACTGGAAAGGCAGGTCAAGGAGGCCTGCAGAGTGGAAACTGGTCTGTGGTGTACTATGAGTTGGAGGCCAGCAGGGGCTAGATATCGAGCTCTTGTTTTAAAACAAAAAACAAACAAAACCACATAAACAAAACACCTACACGCCTAATGATTAAAACAAAACAAAACAAAACAAAAACAAAGGTCTGGACAACTTACTTCTCATATTAACATCTATAGGATTTACACTGGCAGCATGGACTTTGATAATGACTTCGTTTGGGTAGTGTATGATGGGTAACAACATGCTCTGAGTGAATCGAAGAACTTCATTCTTTCCATATTTATCTATCACCCAAGCGGGCATGACCGTGCTCCTGGCAGGTGTAGTACTAATCTCTCTAAATGGTCGCTTTGGGCTAACTTTGCTTCTCCAGAAGCAGGCGGCGGCGGCGGCGGCACGCGCACTTCTTCTAAGTACACAAGACTTCCAAACTTCCATCCTGCACAGGGATGGAGCCGCGTCCTCAGAAAACAAAAGAGAAAAAGGCCAGATTCTGCCAAACCCACCAGTCAATTAAAGGGGGAGGAGATTCCAGAAACAAACTCAACCTGATGAAGCAACGGAAGGAAGAGAATAGAATTGCTACTATGCTCCCCGCGTCAGAAATGCTCCAGCTGACGTCCAGTCAGTATTCTGTGCATCGCCCCTTCCTTCCTTACACTCGCCTACCCCTTAAGGAAAAAAAAAAACAAACAAGCAGAGAGAGAGCCCTCGGCCGGGCGAGCAAACTGCATTAGCAATCCCTGAGCCAGGCGGACTGGAAGCCTCCGGTTCCCGACGCGACCCCAGCCTCGGTCTCCTTGCCTGTCCGCGCGCCGCCGCCCCGGGGCGCCAACCAATCGCGTGCAGCGATCATTTCCGCAGCCGGGACCTCGGCCAATCCAAGCGCTCGGTGTTGAAGAGGCCCGTGAGGATCCAAGATGTCTGCGCCCATGTAAGGCTAGTGACCGGCGGCGACTTCTTCCTCCGCTCCGGGCCCCTCTGGTACCGGGCTGAACCTGAGGACTATGCTGGGCCGGACTCTCCGAGAAGTGAGTGGATGTGGTCCGGAGGGGACCCGGGAGGGCGGAGACACTCGAGGACTCCGAGGTCAAGGTCGCCCCGGGTCACCCCGCACGGCTCGGCCCTCCTGGCCGCCTACATTGCTGAGTGGGAAGGGGGATTCGAACCTATCGCTCTTAGGCAATACACCCCATACCCATTCCCAGGAGTGAGGACGTCAGGGGAAGCGTTTGCACCGATAAGCCGTGGGGTCATCCCTCCCGCGCCATTTGGGGAAGGGTTCTCATTTCAACCCTGTCCCAGCTGTGCTCGCTTAGGGGCGGGGCGAATTTGTATCATGCAAAATTCGAACGAAATAATTGATGGCTTAAAAAAAAAACAAAAAACTACATTCTTCAGAGACCCCCAAATAACTAGGATTCCTACCACTACCTTCTCTCCTGGACATCATATTTGAACCCCTGCTTAAGCTGCAGGTCGCAACCCCATATATAGCAGAAATTTTGACAGCAGTTTAAAGAGGGGCGCGGGTAGGTGGCGGGGTTCTGAGAGACCTTGGTCAAAGTTAATTCACAATCAAAGGCGTTGTGAATCTAAGGTGTTCTGACAGCGCTCACCGATGCTTCCTCCCTGCTTCACTGCAGCAAGGTTCAACACCATGTTTGCCTTCCCCAGTAATAATGCCTGAATCATCTCAACTCAGAATCGAGACTGTTGTGTGTTATGAATCGCAGAGGGGTTTGTTATGTTATGTGTGTTATGGATTGCAGTGGTTCTTTTCTTTTAACCATATGTGCATCTTTTCCAAACTTGTAGACACGTAACTTTAACTGCAAGAAGCAAAAACTTTTAATATTTTCCTAAATCATTTCTCAGCTTGTCACATACCCTTAGTGTGAAATTCGTGTATCTGTGGTTTATTGGTGTGAAGGTGCTTGATTCTAAAAATGGCTGTTTGAGTTACTGGTTTGAGTTTCACTTAAAAATCATTAAATGGATTTTGATCTGAGATAATTCAGCTATTTCTGATATAGCCCTAACCATGGCCACACCATTTTGTATAGGGTATTTATTTTATGTATCAGTTCTCAGCACTGATAATTTTCAAATCGAAATATTGGTAAACTGAAAAAAAACATGGAAGTAGCCTAGATCCTGAAATATCAAATATTCAGCCAAGATTTAATTCTTTATTTAAAAATAAGCAAGTATATACATTTTATTAGTATGCAAATTTGTTTTAATCTTTAATAGATAGTAAAATTATGTGTACCAAAGAATTTTTTTTGGTTTGGTTTGGTTTGGTTTGGTTTTTCAAGTCAGGGTTACTCTGTGTAGCTTTGGAGCCTGTCCTGGATCTCACTGTGTAGACCAGGCTGGCTTTGAACTCACAGAGATCTGCCTGCCTCTGCCTCCCGAGTGCTGGGATTAAAGGCGTGTGCCACCACCGCCTGGCTCAAAGAATTTTTTAAATATCTACTTGTTTTATGTATGTGGATATTTTGTCTGCATGTACATCTGCACACCACAAGTGGGCATCAGATCCCATGGGACTACAGTTCTAGACAGTTGTGAGCTGCCATGTGGGTGCTGGGAATTGATTCAGGACTTCTGGAAGAGCAGCCAGTGCTCTTAACTGCTGGGCCACCTTTCCAGCCCCCCAAAATTGTTTTAAAATAAATTTATTTATGACTTATCCATAAATAATTTGTATGCCTTCTTACTATACAGATATACCAGGGTTTTGCAAAATTTCTCTGACAGAAAAGGGTTGTGTATGGAAAAGGCTTAAGAAGCCCTGCCCTAGACTCTAGCTGTAGATAGTTTCTGGAGGTCTCTTCCAGATGCCTCATAACACACTCTAAAGCAAAGTGCTGGTATACCAAGCCATCAAGAAAGTAAAACCCAAAGCACAGCTACTATCCATTGGCCCGTAGACTGTCCTTCACATCCTGTATTTGTTAAATCACTAAACCCTCTGTAATCTCTTCTGTCACTTACTCTTAACTCTTTTTTTTTTTTTTATTTTTTTTCATTTATTTTACATAACGGCCACAGTTTCCCTTCTCTCCTCTCCTCCTTTTCCCTCTCCCCACCTCCCTTCTACCCTCCCCCCATCCATTCTTCCTCCTTCTTCATTCAGAAATGCAGGCCTCCCATGGGCATCAATAAAGCATGGCACATCAAGTTGAGGCAGGACCAAGCTCCTCCGCCTGCATCTAGGTTGGGCAAGGCAACCCAGCATAGGGAACGGGTTCCCAAAAGCCAGATCAACAGGGACTGGTCCTGATCCCACTGCTAGGAGTCCCACAAACAGACCAAGCTACACAACTGTTACACACATGCAGAGGGCCTAGGTCAGTCCCATGCAGGCTCCCTAACTGCTGGTCTAGAGTCCCTGAGCTCCCAGTAGTTCAGGTCATCCTCTCTGTGGGTTTCCTGGTCATGATTGACCCCCTCTGGACTCCAGGAGCTCAGCCCGGTGCTTGGCTGTGGATCTCTGTGTCTGCTTCCATCAGTTACTGGATGAAGGTTCTATGATGACAATTAGGGTAGTCACCAATCTGATTACAGTAGATGACCAGTTCAGACACCTTCTCCACTATTGCTAGGAGTCTTAGCTGAGGTCATCCTTGTGGATTCCTGGTAGTTTCCCTGGCACCAGGTTTCTCCCTAATCCCCAAATGGTCCCCCCATCAAGATCTCTCTTTCAATATCCTCCCCATCTGTCTGGCCGGCCCCCAACCCAACCAACCAGATCCCTCATGTTTCCATACCCCCATCCCCCTCCCCTCTGCCCCCAGTTTACCCAGGAGATCTCTTCTATTTCCCCTTCCCAGAGAAATCCATGCATCTCTCTTTGGGCATCCTTATTACCTAGCTTCTCTGGGGTGCTCTTAACCCTGATTCATGTTTTAACATGGATCACCTGGCTTTGTCTGGGGCCAGACTCTCTCAATCTTTACAACAGTCTGCTTGCCCACTCAGAATCACCTGGGGCTTTAGTTAAGACTTCAACTGGTTCCCACTCTAGTTTTAATTACATCTGTGTGATTAAAACTAGAGTATATGGCTTAGTAGGGTCTCTGGGTGGATTTTTGTAACAGTGTTGAGTCCCTGTCCTGCCCTACCATTTCCCTTTTGTGTCCCCATCTGGGAGGTCTCTTCTTTCTCAACTTTCTCAACTGGCAGCATTTCAGGAATTATAAATTATAATGAGACATTTAAATCCATAGGCTTTTAGTAATACTTTTCCCCAAAATACTATCCTACATTGTATGTGACATATCCTACCTACTATTAGTGAAAAGTCAAATTTGTTCTTTTTGTTGTTGAGGTAGGATCTTGTGCCCAGGCTAGCCTTGCTAAATTTGTTCTCAAAAAAGAGTGGGAATCCCCAAAACTTGTTTAAAATACAACCTATAAAAAAATGTGGCCTGGCCGGGCGGTGGTGGCGCACACCTTTAATCCCAGCACTCAGAAGGCAGAGCCAGGCAGATCTCTGTGAGTTTGAGGCCAGCCTGGTCTACAGAGTGAGATCCAGAACAGGCACCAAAACTACACAGAGAAACCCTGTCTGAAACAAACAAACAAACAAACAAAAAATGTGGCCTGCTTTTTCCCTCTCTTATGCACCTGCGGTGGAAGAGAGAGGTGTGTATGAATAAACCATTATAAAAACATTTACTTCATGGGGAAAAAACAGTAACAAAAAACCCATAACAGGGGAGTTGACCCAAAGGAAGACCGAAAAGTTGCCTTGACATTACAGCTTTTACTTAATAACTCCTTTAACAAATATTGCTAATGCCTACTGTATTCAAAGACTGTTTGGTAATTATTTTACCAGGTGGAAAAGTATCTTCTGTCTACTTTGTGGTTTTTTCCATGTTTCTGTCCAAATGCTCTGAACTTTACTAGTTAGAAATTGATTAATTCAGTACACATTCGCTCTTTAATGTGTGCAGATGCCCGAGAGTAGTGAAAGATTCATTCTCCTTGTAAAGTCTATCAGTTGAATCTAAGTTCTCTATTTCCTAACACGGTAGGTGAGATAATTGATTAAGAAAGGGAAATTTTGCTGGGGAGGCAGTTAGAGAAACTTGGAACTAAACATCTGGGGCAATTTGGGGGACCATTAATGGAGCTTGGGATAGCAGAAGAGCCCTGGGACAAGGCCGCAGGATGTGATGACAGATAAGAAGTAAAGCCCAGTGCCGGGTCTTGCCCGACTGTTGACTATTGAACAGTCCTTGAAGGGAGGAGTGAGTATTGAAAAATAATAGATATGAAAAATAGAGATGTAGATGATGAAAAGAAAAAGACAGAGACACAGAGTAGCATCCAGAGGGCTCTGGGTCAATACCACAGTCACCCCGATTTTATTCCTCATGAGCTTTTTGCACACCAGCAAGGGGAGAGGCAAAAGGTCTCCCCCTCTCAAGGACACCAGGGTTCAAGGTACAAAGTACAGATAAATAGAAACACTTCCTTAATTCTCAAAACATCTATTAGCCACGCCTTATGGCAAAGCATCCTGTAATTAGGCCTTGAAGTGTAAGACACCTGGTAACCACTTCTTAGGCCAAAACATCCTATTATACAGCCTTGCTGGGCAAAACAAACTTGGACTCTCTGACCTTGAGTCAAGATGGAGTAAAGCCACACTATGGATTCTCTGTGGGCTCCTACAGCCCAGGAGGGCTGGCAGCCACAGCTTCAACTGCAGGTGAATCTCAGTGAGTCTCAGTTCCAGGACAGTCAAGGCTGCACAGTGAAACCCTGTC